ATTTTTTTTGATTGAAGATGCTTTTTGTTTGATTGAATAATAAAAACACAAATTTACCTCCATACATTCTTCCCTCTGTGTGTTTATCTGTTTCTGACATTAATGTCTCATGAAAACAGATTCTGTTCAATCTAAAACTCAATGGTTAGAGTCCACCTGATGGCTGCTATAGTTAAGCAAATAAAACTGTTACGTTTTTAGACTGCAACTTTTCTGCTTTTCTTCGCTCCACAGGGGGATTTCACTCTGATTTTTATTTTTTACGTAGAAGAAGTGAATCTTTCATGTTTTTGATTGGATGGATTCTGCTGTTCTTGCAGTTTACTGAAGAAAATGTCAATCTAGTTCAACAAGCTTAAAAAGCAACTTCAGTTTCACAACACTTAGAATTTAAAACATATATTTCATTTAAATACTGAATGACTTTCATGACAATCTGATGACAGAACCAGGGTTTTTGAGATGCTTAATGCCCTGCCATGTTAACAAAACTGTTTTCTCTTTGATCCAAAATCAGGGGCGGAGCCAGACGGGTGGTCGACGTGTCAAGTTGGCACCTGATTGGCCACTCCAGATGTCACCACCAAATGATTGACAAGTGGGTGGGAATGCATGTGGCACTCAGTTAGAGCAAAAACAGAATAAATATTTATCAAGCTGCTGAGTTGTCTGATGTAGAGGGAACTCATCAGAAAAAAATCTGAACCATTGAATTAGAATAAAGCAATAATTGTGTATGATAGTTCTGTGTTTAAAAAAACAATTAATAAAAATTTATAAAAAGATTTAGTAGCCAGTCTGTAAGATAGCAATGATGCTGAAATGGAGCAAAAAAGTTCCCCAAGAAACTTTAACAAGTACTGCCATGTAGCTGTCATCGTCAGCTTGATTGTACTGTTGTGTTAGTGATAGCTCAAAATAGAAAAAATAGTTAAGTTAAAGACATTTTGATTTAGCTTTGGTGGCCATTTTGGACTTTATGTATGTGTTTTCCCAGAAGCCGTTGGGCATCAATCTCAGCTTCCACCAGACTAAATTTCAGATTAATATCTCTAAAAATGTTTTGAGTTATAGTATTTTTCCTTTTTAACTTAGGTGGCCATCTTGGATTTTTGATTTGCAGAGTTTTTTAAAGAGCTACCAGTACGCCAAGTTTGAGCACAGTAACAGCATCAGAGTTACTGACATTTGTAATTAGCTGTGGTGGCCATCTTGAATTTTCAAATCAAGATTAGCTTTTTTTTGTATGGGCCCCACTAAAAACACTTTGGCCACCTCTTGCAAAAAAAGTCTAGCTCCGCCCTTGTCACCAATTTTTTCCCCCTATCTAGTTTAGATCGCATTATAGTTACTTCATTAGTAAATGGATTAATAATGATTATAGTCAGTCATTGTTAAGAACGTGTCATTTCCTACTTTACCTGGAAATTTCATCCAATTACAGTGGTTTGCAAAAGTATTCATACCCCTTGAACTTTTCCATATTTTGTCACATTACAACCACAAACATAAATATATTTCACTGGAATTTAATG